GAGCGAGCGGGCAGCCTGGATGGGGTAACCCCGGCAGCCCTGAGGGAATCTGTTGCTCTGGGTCGAGGGAAGGGAAAGATGGGCCCTACAGGGTCTGGAGAGCCCCCTGAGACTGGCATCCCTATGAAGGCTGCAGGAGACAAGCTTGCAGGTAAAAAAACTGTCAAGTACATCAAAGGAGAAACCCCAAGATTGGGTGCAGAAGGTCCAGTTGATCAAGAAAAAACAAGTGAAATTGAGCTAAAACCTACCCAAAAACAGAAAAGCAAGAAAAAGAAAGCAAAGCAGACTGGTATCCCAGGAGACAGCGCTCGGATGGAGAAATCTTCTGCGGAAAAGCAGTCCCTTCCCTTTCTGATTTCCAAAGAAATTCCAGGGAAGGAGGAGGAGGAGGACTTCATCTCAAGCATGCCAGAACCAAAACATGAAACCACCACCAGGATTACTGCTGGGTTGGCAAGAGAGTCAGCCAAGCACATGGGGAGCAGCAGGGATGAAAAAGAAAAGCAAACAATTTCTGAGAGAGGTAAAGAAAACCTTGCTGGGGTTCAGGTGTTCCCTGTCCTCCCAGGACAAGGGGAAGCTCGAGAGGTGATAAAAGGTGGGATCAGAAGAGGTCATGATTCCTCGGTGGCATTGAGCCTGGAGGAGAGGATGAGCCAGGATATGTCCAGTGCAGTCCCTGCAGCCGGCGAACTGTCCGATGAATTAATTATCAGAGAGGAACCCGGAGAAGTTCGGGAAACCTCTGCAGTCCTTGAGCTTGCAGAAGAGACGCGGCAAGAGCAAACGGTGGAGATCAGCACAGGCCAAGGAGGTGCCCCTGTTGCCCCAAAATCCGAAGGAGAAACCCCCCAGGAGAGGACCAGGCAGCTGGGTCCTGGTGATCGGGGCTTGCTCTTACCTGTGATAGTGGAGGGGGAGCTGCTGGAAACCTCGAGGGAATCCACGAGACCAGCCCAGGTAAATTGAGTCTTTTTGCTATTTCGACTCTTGTTTTATGAGCTATTTGTGTGTGTTTGATGTTAAATCTGTCTGAGGTCCTCAGCACAGAGGACAGCCAGAACAAGAGGAGGGGATGGTTGAGCTTGATGTTGCAGTATCAGCTGCAATGATTTGGCAAAGGACCCAGTGATGTATGACTGAAAACACTCAAGGCTTAGTTGTGGCTTCTTTTTGCTAGAGCATTACTTATAAATGACTAATAAGTAGGACTCTTTTTTGGCACTTTTACTGTAACCCCAGAGATCTCTTGCCATTTATAAGCTTATGCTGGAAAAAGAGCCGTGTGTTTTATTTTTCCTGTAGTAAATCTTGTAGATAAGGCTAGCGAGTGGAAAGTCCCTGAAATGGAATGCTATTAACAGATTTCTTCTTTGAAAAGAAGAATACTATATAATCCTTTGTTTTCTTTTCTGTCTAAATCTGAGGTTTTGTTTTACTGTTTGATTCTGTAGATCATGTTCAGCAAGAAGATGTGTCTGGAGCACGATGAGAAGCTGATATCCTATCTCTCCATGCTCCGAGATATCGAGATGAGAATCAAACGGGTGCAGCCAGCAGAGCAGAATTTGGCAGCCCTGCACGACCTGCTGCAGCAGGCGGAGGTGAGCGAGGCCGGGCCAGGCTTGGCCGGCGTTAGGCAGGACGGAGCTCGTCCCTCCTCTCCCCAGCTTCGCGCACAGCCCTTGCACCTCCTCCCTGCTTCTGGGAGCCAGCCGGGGAGGTTAGTCTCAGGTTGAACAGGCATTTCTATGCAAACCCTGTCCCTCCCCGCCCTGCCTCTGGCTCACCTTCTCCTCCCTGCTGAGACAGTAACCTAAGCATGGCTGAAATGAATTTTACAGCCTGGAGAAAGACAGGCGAGTGCTGGCAGCTGAGCGAGGCTGGAGGATGGTAATGAATCTTTCTAGGAGATAGACACAGCGTTCGGAGCTCGGTCTCCAGAACCTTTCCTCAGTTTTGGCAGTGGGAAGATGAAGTCACCGTATCTTAGACATAACGATGCTGTCTTGCCTCAGGCCCTGGGCGCTGAGCTGCAGGAGCTGAGCTTCCCAGTGAATCAGGAGTTGGATGCCGTGAAGCGGATTGTGGCCAACCCCCCTGAAGAAGTCCCCGAGCAATTACTGAAGGCTTTGGAGAAGGATGCCAAGAACCTCCAGAAGTCTCTGAGCTCCGCGAGTGATGTCCTGGAGTCCCGGCTGCAAAACCTTCGCGGGGCAGCAGAAACCGAAAAGGTAGAGCCGGCAACTGTCCCCGCTGCCTGCTGACCCCCGAGCATCCCAATGCCCTTTCCCCAGAGCGCTCTGCTCCTTCTTTAAATGACGCATTTCTGTTTTTAAGGCTAAAATCCTGGCACATCACGAGACTCTCCAGGGCAAACTCCAGGAGCTGCTGAGCTGGGTCTCTGGCACTGCAGAGTCACTGGGCAGCAGCGATTGCCACCACGCAACTGATGCAAACAGCTTGAGTCGCTGCCTCCAGCGCTACAAGGTAACCATGGCAATGCCCCTAATCCTTCTGGCTGATGAAGTTGCTGTCCCCTGCGCGGAGGAGCAGCTTTTAATCCTGCTTCTCTCCTGGAGCCTACCAAGGGTTTGCTCTTATCCTTTGTTGCAAGAGGAGCAACAATATTGTGTTTGCTCCAAAGTCATTTATTTCCACAATACCCAAACCATCTGCTTTGGCCATTTGGGGAACACGCTCAGATGCAGGTGTGTGGTGCGGGCTGAGCGACCAGGAGGGATTCCCGGCAGGCTCTTGAGGGGAGAGCTGCTTCCTGCGTGGGGGCTCCGAGAGCCCGCTCCATCACACTTGCCCCAGTCTCCATCAACTGTACGAGGAGCCCAGGTTCCTCTCCCCATTTATTCATCTTTTAGCGGTAGCTTTCAAGATTGGGTCTGTTCAGCATCTCCTGTTTGCTGGTAGCACCTTGGCGTTGAAGTCAGCGGATCAAAGGCTTTGAGAGCTGATGGTGGCACACGGCGTCACCGTGGACCGGACGGAGCTGCTGGCAGCTCCAGGGCTGGGTCATCTTCAGGCCCAAGGGCAGCCCTACGTGCACAGTCCAAGCAACTTCCTGGCAAGGTGCTGGAGGCCTGGTGCAGAGGCACGTTAGAAAATCGCTGCGGTGAGGTGCTGTCACCTCCGTGCTGAGTGTGCTTTTGGGAGCATTTGGGGTTTCTGGAATATATTGTTCTGGTGACAAAGCACTTTTTTTGGGTGCATACTGCTGCCTCTCTGCGTATCCTATCTGAAGCTGGCAGTGCAGGAAAGCGCTGGCTTCAGAGTCATTTTGCCTGACAGGGCTTTTCTCTCCCATTCAGGAGCTGAAAGAGCCCCTCGCTGACACCAAGTCTCAGCTCGATGCCACTGCCTTTGACGTCCAGTTCCTTATCTCGGAGCATGCCCAGGACTTGACCCCGCAGCAGAGCAGGCAGCTGCTGAGGCTGCTCAATGAGCTGCAGAAGGCTTTCCGGGACCTGTCGGAGCATGTGACGGCTCGGGTGGAGGTCCTGCAGGTCTGTCTCCAGCAAGTGGAGCAGACGGATCAGGTGAAGGTTGTGAGACATCTGCTTCCTGGCTGCAGTTTGCTCGCTGAAGCGCTTCCCCGCCACGAGAACGTGCGCTGAGACACCTCGTATTTGGGATTTCATGTGCATGCCACTCGGTTTATGACTTTTCATTGCACATCATGAGCTTCCTCTAAAGTCTTTCTTCTTCCTACCATGTAACTCCCAGGCGAAAAGTCGCTTTCCTCCCAAAAGACGGAGCCCTGCCGAGGTCTGGGTAGCACAGCTGGGCAGTCCTCTGCTAGACTAGAGTTGCTTTGGGCTGGGTGGAATAAACCCTGTCTCTGTAACCCCGCCAGAAAATCCCTGTGCAGAGGGGCCACCACAGACACCTGGCAGTTTTAATGTCTTATTTCCACTGCACAAGTCAGGTATTGCTGTCCCAGAGAAACAGCTGAGGATGTATCAAGGCAGCAGGCAGCTGCCAAAGCAAGTCCTCGGGTCTCTGCTGCATTGCTGCAGCACCCGTCGCTGCATGGATCCTCTTATTCAAGACAGGATTAATGTGGTTTTTATTAACAGTTGCTCTCTGTAACTCTTGCCTGTCCTCTCTGGAGTGTGTGTGTATATTAACCAGTTTGCTTTGCTTTTTCAGATTGAGTGTGCGCCCATCCTAACCCAGGAAGAACTCGCTTTGCAGCTGAAGAGCTCTTAAGAAGGCTCTTTCAATTTGCTTCTGTTGTTTATCTTATGACTGGGAGAAACAAGCACAGTGTTTTGCACAAGTTTGTACATCACCTTGCTGAAATGCCCAGTGAAACTCAAAACCCTTTATCTCCCCTGGGAAAGGGGAACAGGAACGTTGCAGGGACTCTCAGGTCACATCATGCTCAATTGCTCAAACAGGCGCTTCTGTATTGTGCTCTGGCAGCAAAACGGAGGAGCTGGATCAGCTACAGAAATGCTTTCTCTCTCCCGGGCTCCCTCTCCAACCCCAGGATCAAAAAACCCAGCCTACTTAGGCTGTTTGGGGCTCCACAGTGGTGCTACCTGACCTCAGGTTGTTACCTCTCATTAGATGAGTTTCTGCTGCAGTTTTAATGTTTGAAAGGTTGAATGGAGAATGCGCAGAAACTTCTGGTTGAGCTCTCCCATGAGAGGAGTGCGTGACCTGGAGCGTAGCTCCACGTGGGGCTGAACGGGCCTCTCAAAGAGCAGATTGAGAGAAACCTGCTCGAGTGGTGGCAAACATGCAGTGAGCGGCTCCTGCTCGGCAGGGACTCGGCACCTCAGCCCCGTTCCTGCAGCGTGTGAGCCTGAGGGGGAGAGGGAGCCCGTGGAGAGCTGCAAAAGCTGTTTTCTGTGCTGCATCCTCATCTTCAGGAGATGCTCCAGCTGTAACCTCTCGCCTTGCCTTTCAGCGATGTGCGTGACCAGAGGTGCAGCACAGGTCCTAACTGTCCCCTCTCCCCTTCCCTCTGCCCGCAGACGCTGCAGGAGCAGCAGGCAGTCCGGGCGCAGAGCCTGGCCGAGCTGAGCCGCTGGCTGCACCAGGCAGAGGACACGCTGGCAGAGCAGCAGAGAGCAGCCAGCGAGGGGGACCTGCCCGCCTTGCAGCAGAGGCAAAGCGATGTTAAGGTTGGTGCTTTAAAAATGGGGGTCGGAAGGCGGAGAGGCTCGGTGCTGCCTCGGGAGCTCATGGAGCCTTACGGCATCGTCTGCCTAGGAGCTGCAGAGGAACATGCACACCCGAGCCGCCTCCTTCGCCAGCGTCCTGAAAAGCACAGAGGAGTTTTTGGAGGAGAACAAGACAAAGATGGAGCCCGGGGAGCTGGCAGCACTGCAAGAGAAGCTCCAGCGTGCCAAGGAGCAGTACCAGTCCCTGCAGGAGAGGACAGAGGTGGCCCAAAAGGAGCTGGAGAGCGCTGTGACTGCTGCAATGCAGCAGGAGACTGAAAAGGTAACGTGCAATGAGCTGTAGCCCCCAGGCTCTGCTTGAGGTGGGCAGTGAGGTCCAGTCGGTGCAATCAGATTCATTTGGGGCCCTGGCATTTTTTTGGGTGATGTGGCATAAAGCAATTTGCTGTTCCTTCCTGTCTGTCCCCCACGTGAGGTGCCCCCCAGGCATTTATGTCATTAAATGCCTTGAGAGCTGCAGCCGCAGATGAGCTGGTTGTGGAGGAAATGGGGGGGTAAAAGGCACCTTGCTCTGCCTTTGGGCTGACCTGTAACGGGAGCGTGAGCATCAGGCACCTCCATGCGCTGGCGGTGAAAGCGCTGCTCGCACCTGCCTGCAAGGAGGAGTCGCACCCCTTGGCAGGGGGGACTCTGGGTTGTATCAGGGTGAGAGGGGCAACGCAGCAGAGAGGCTGAGTTGATTCACACCTCCTTTGCACCTTCCCCCCTTTCAGAGCGCCACAAAGTGTTTTGGAAGTCTGTGAGTGTCTCGGGTGTTTGCTGTGGCTGGAAAACTGTTCAGGATTTTTCCTTCTGTTGATTTTTGTCTCCCTCCCCCATGCAGCCGTTTGCTGAACATGCATAAAATGGGTCATTCTTATCTGGAGCCTTTGTGCTTTCAGGTGAAAGCTGCCAAAGAGCTGGAGGAGAACAGCAATAAGATTGATTCCCTTTTGAACTGGGTGGCATTGCTGGAGCAGAAGGGAGGGCTCCTGGAGTACAGACTGCACCCCGTCGAGCAAGCGCCAGGGGTGCGAGCGGGGACGGACACTCAGGACATCCCCGACAGCCACGTCGTGGGAGCAGACAGCGCTGCCGGGAGCCTGGATGAGCAGTACGAGAGGCTGAAGGTCAGGAGTGACACCTCGTCTCTCTCAAAACTTTCTGCCCAATGCACTGGCCCTGATGCAGCTGGAAGCAGGACGGGGTGTGAGATGGGTCTGGGCTCCAAAACACATATTGAGGGTGATTTTCCATATGGGAGACTTGGGAAGCCCCTGCCTGGCTTCCTGGAGGACGTGCACTCTGTGTTGGTGCACGGGTGCCACGGCACGGTGCAATCAGGGTAACGAGAGAAGGTGCCCGTCACGGTCAGAGAAGGGGTGACTCTCCTGTGGGCAGAGCCCTGCCTGTATCCCTTGGGGTGTTCGCCCACCTTGCTGGTGCTGTAGGAGGGTGCAGAGGCTCAGTCGTGCGTGTGGCCTCGCTACACCTGCCGGGCGCTGGTGGGCAGAGACGCTGGGTCGCAAGCATCACCTTTGCTTTCCGGCATCTTTCAGGCCCAGCACCAGGAGCTGCTGTCCCAGCAGCAGGACGTCATCCTGGCCACGCAGTCGGCGCAGGCTTTCCTGGACAGGCATGGCCACAGCCTGGCTGGGGAGGAGCGGGACCGGCTCCAGGGTCGGCTGGCAGAGCTGAAGGACCAGTACGCGGCTTCCCTCTCGCAGTCGGAAACGCGGCTGAAGCAAGTTCAAGTCCTGCGGGACGAGCTGCAGAAGTTCTTGCGGGATCACGGGGAGTTCGAGGCTTGGCTGAAGCAAGCTGAGCAGGATCTGGAGGGGATGTACAAGGGGGACAGCGACCCCACGGCCCTCCGGCAGCTGCTCCTGCGACAGGGGAGCTTCTCGGAAGATGTGATCTCCCACAAAGGCGACCTGCGGTTTGTTACCATGTCGGGGCAGAAGGTGCTGGATGCCGAGGGAGCTGCCGGGGACGCAGGGTCCCAGCCGCTGGCGTCTGGGAGCGTGGTCAGGAGCAAGCTGGAGGATGCAACGCAGCGATACACCACGCTACACTCCAAGGTACAGGAGGGGCTTGCAAGGTTGGGAGTTAAGCCCTGGGTGCCATTTTCCTCCTGTGCATGTTGAATGAGCAGGGATGGCAGAAGGATGTGTGACTCGAGAGTGTCTGGCTGGATTTCTAGCACATAATGTAGGACAAGGATTGTCTTCTTCAGGCCTTGGGCAGGAGTAACACCCTCTGTGTTGGTGTTGGTCTGCATGTTGCCTCCTGCAATTCCTTTAACACATATGGCAAGATTGGTTTTTATTGGTTTTTTCTTTCCTGATGATTTCTGTGCATTTTCCAGTGGTGCCCAGGTTGCTCTGTGCTTGTGTGCATCCTCCCTTTATGTCTTGTTGCTCTTTTGCAGTGCACCAAGCTTGGCTCCCACCTGAACACCTTGCTGGATCACTACCAGCAGTTCCAGGAGGTGGCAGAGTCTCTCAGGACGTGGCTGCAGGAGAGCGAAGCTGCCGTTGGGAAACTGCTCTCGGAGACGGTTTCTTCAGATCCGGCCGTTCTGCAAAAGCAGCTCACCAGCGCTAAGGTACGGGGTTCTTGGGTCATGTCCTGGGCGAGCGTTGGAGCCCGTACAGGACTTTGGCCACTGTCCTGAGCAGCCACGGTGCAGTCAGCAGCAGGGAAGAGGCTCGATCCATTCGCTTTTTTTGCTGGTTGAGCGCAAAGATGTACCTGCAGGCTCAGGAGGTCCTGGTGCTGCAGATCAGGTGGAGCCAGACCCTTCTGAGAGTTGCTTAGAGCAAGGACCAGGGGCTGCAGCTGCAGGCTCCGCAGGGGACATCCCAGCGGGACATGGGGAGGCATTCCTCCCCTGTGAGGCTGGTTGGGCGCTGGGCCAGCTCTGCGTGCAGCATGGCGTTGGACCTTCCAACCTACTTTGTTATTTTTCTTAACGATTTTGTGATTTAAATGAACAGGATCCCTCAGCAGGGTTTAAATGGAGCACTGAGCTCCCTCTGAGTGCAGGTCTCTTGCGTGTGACCCGCTGGTGACTTTGCCCTGTCTTGTGTCAAAGCAGCAGCTGCAAGGAGACCTCGCTGAGCATCAGGTGCTGGTGGAGAAGCTCCAGAAAGCGGCTCGGTCCCTGCTGGAGGTACAAGGGGAGCCAGCCCCGGACCACGGGCACATTCAGGAAACAACAGGTACGGAGCAAAGCAGCCACCTGCATTAGCAGAGATGGTTGGAGAGACCATGAAAACCAACCAGGGAGGGAGGAAAGAAGGAATCTCCCACTTTTGGGGGAAGGTGGGGCAAAGCCGCGCAGCAGTGCGTCTTCAGGGCTTGTGTTTGCACATGGGGAGGGCTGAGATCCAGTTTGGCCATTTGCGTAGGGTCCCCTGTCTTGCTGCTGAGTTTGGGGATGGGGATTCGTCATCAGCGAGAGTTTGGCAGGAGCCAAAGGTGGCACTTGCTGCTCTCTGAGCACTGGGCGAGAAGCTCTTTGCCGCTGATTCTCCTTTGCGCTGAACTCCGCAGATGCCATCGTGAGCCTCTTCCAGAGCCTCTCCCAGCAGATGGCCGAGCGCTCAGACCTGCTGCAGAAATCCATCGCCCAGTCCCAGAGCGTCCAGGAGAGCCTGGAGAGCCTCCTCCAGTCGGTGGCTGAGATCGAGAAGAACCTGGAGGGAGAACAGCCCGCCGTGCTCTCCTCCACCTCCATCCAGGACTCACTTGCCACGAGCGCGGTAAGGCTGGTCCCTGAGCTCGCCCCGCTCAAACACGCCTGTCTGCAGGACCTGAACTGTGCAGGCAGTTGCTGGGGGTTAGCTACAGTATTCTGAAAGCACAAAAAATACCCTAAAAAGGAATACGAGCAGAACTTTTACTTAGTTTCTTTAAGCTAGGACGCAGACATGTTGAAAGTCTGTCTTCTGCTGACAAGCAGGGCTTAGATAACAAGGCACTGCGAAAAGGCCGAGCAGGTTGGGGAGATCAGAAAGGAAAGGAAAATGGGGATAGAAAACTATTCTTGCCCGACTATTCTTTCCCAAGGGCGGCCCGGCCTCTCTTCATGCCAGTCCAGTTTTGCTCAAGAGCCTTCCTAAAATGGCATCCCTTTCTGTGTGTGCTTACCGCAGAAGCTGAAGCAGGACATCGCCAGGCAGAAGAGCTGCCTGGAAGCCACCCGTGAGATGGTGGCACGGTTCATGGAGGCGGCAGACAGCCCCACGGCCTCTGCTCTGCAGGGCAAGCTGGCAGAGGTGACGGAGCATTTCGGCAGGCTGTGCCAGCAGCAGCGGGAGAGGGAGGATGCGCTGAAGGGCCTCCTCCCGAAGGTCGAGCAGTATGAGCAGCTCTCGGAGAAGTTGCAGCAGTTCACGGAGAGCAGAGCGCGGATGTTGGCATCTGGGAACCAGCCAGACCGGGACATCGCTCGCTTCTCCCAGCACATCCAGGTGAGATGCAGGGGGAGAAGACTCCACCTGCGTCGGGTTTCTAGGGCAGGGACGTTTTGCAATGATTTCTTCCTGGGCAAACAGCCCCTGGTTCGCTCCCAGGCTGGCAGGATCCGCAGGACCTGTGCTGGCTTTTTGTCTGGGGAAGGGAGCGTGGCCGGAGCGGCTGAGGCTGTTTCCAGCAGTGAGAGAGGGGAATGGCGTTTCCCTGGAGCTAGGCTGGTTTTTGGAAGGGATCTCTAGCCAGCCTCTGAGGGGCTAGTCCAAATATAGCAAGGTTTTACCAATTAAAGACTCTACGGGGTTAATACAGCAAGAAGCCCGAGCGAAAGGCCTTCGAGATGCCTCCGAGATGCCATGGGTCCTGGTCATGGCTGCATGGCATTCCTCCCTCTGGCTTCCTCCGAGTGCTCTGCTGCGGGGGGTGTCTGACCACAGCCTCAGAAACGCCCTAAGTTGGCGTAGAACTGGACACTTGTGCTGGGGGGGGGAGTGATTTGGCTTGGTCTAGGGCCCCCCGTCCCATTCACTGCGTGGCCTCACGCCAGCCCCGGGGAAGGTGGGACTTGCACCCGCAGCTGCTTGAAGTATTTGCTGAGCCGGAGCCGGGGGAGCAGGTGGGACGGGGCCGTGCCTGCCCGTTTGGCACTGGCGCAATTTTCATGGTGCTGCCCGCAGAGGGTCCCTCCGGCTCGCCAGGACGTGGGGCTGTCCGGTTCATCCCCTCTGCCCGAGCCTGCTGGCGAGGGCACGGTCAGCATCGCCCTTTGCTCTTGGCAGGGACTGAATTCGGAGATGAGGCAGCACCAGGAGGACCTGGCCGCCCTGGAGCAGCTGGCTGCGGAGCTGAGCTCCTCTGGCATCGCCCCCGGCGCCTCCCAGCAGCAGGAGAAGCTGCAGAGCCTGAAGAAAGATTTCCTGCAGCTGCAGAAGGTGGCAAAAGAGAGGTGAGTCCCAGGGACCTGACCACTCTCTGGGGAGCTGAGTTTGGGCGAGGCTTCGTGGTCAGAGCAAGACCCCGTGGAGATCTCCCCTTTCCGTGGGGGGGGGCACGAGCGAACTCTTCCTGCCTCCCTCCTCCCACACCAGGAGACATAAGGCAGCTCGCTCCAGCTGACGCTTTAAAAAAAGCCTTGGCTGGGGGCGTTGTGAAAAATTCCTGGTGCTGCAGGAGCTGGTGTTCGTGCGTTGCCCGGCGTGTGGGCTGCCACAGCTCCATCCCAGAGCGTCTTTGCCGGAGGGGAGCGGGATGCTGGCGGGGGATTGGGAGCCTGCCCCAGGCGTGCTCTCCGGGAGGTGACAAAGCAGAGCAGACTGTCCCCGGAGTCCCCTCAAGTGGGGTAAAGGAGAGCTTTAGCAGCAGCTTGGGCTCAAATCGGCCATGGCAGCGTGAGCAGGATTGGAGGGGCAGCTCGCCTGCGTCCCCGGGGGGGGGTCACCCCTCCCAGGCTGTATCTCCAGCCTCCCTGGTGAATACAGGGAAGGTGATGGGGAAAAGCAGATGATTCTCATAATAATCGCGAGATAGTCAGCACCGCACAGAGAACTGCCTCCGGCCGGCCCCATGCAGGCTGCTTGCAGCTGCGGTCGGCGAGGGTGAGCCGGAGGGGCCCGTGGCTCCCGTCCGGGGGCTGCCTTGTTCCTCCGGGCCGGGCTGAATAGATGAGAGCTGTGGCCGGGGAGGAGGGGCGGCCGAGCCTGGCCTCCCCCGGGCTGCAGCTGGCTGAAGCGAGACAGCATGAATGAGCCCTGTCTTCCCGAAATCTTTGCTACCCCTGGGACAAAAGAGACGGGTGCAGAGCCGGAGCAGGTTGGCAGCGGTGGTCCCACGGTGGTGCCGGAGCGGGCCCAAAATTGCCACCCGACTGCTTGGGGGGCCAGCAGCAGTGAGGGGCAGGCTGCGGCGTGCACCCCACTTTGGCTGGCGCTGCCTGCGCTGTTCCTAAGCAACATCTAATAATAATAATAAAAAGAAGGGCTCCTAGAGACACAACTGTGCTACATTCAAGCGGGGGTAATTGCAAGGCAAAGCACGAGCTCTGACTCTCTGAAACCTTTTCACTCTCAGAGAAAAGGATGCGTCGTCCTGCCAGGAGCAACTGGATGAATTTCGGAAGCTAGTCGGGACCATGAGGAAGTGGCTGAGGGAGAGCGAAGGCAAAATGCCGCCTGCCGAGACCTCCCTGGGCACCCAGGAACTGCACAAGTGCAGGCAGCAGATCCAGGTGGGCAGCGGGAGCCGGAACCTGACTGGGAAAGTTGGCAGCTGGTGTGGAAACGCTGAAACGTGGAATAAATCCCAGGAAGCAGAGTCCTGGGAGGTGTTTTATGGTCTCAGGAATCCTGGGCTCCCCTATACTTGCTGCTGGGCTGCAGCCCTTGGCGTGCGTGCATCCAGTGGTCCCTGGCTTGCGGAGCAGGGAAGGTGTGAAGGTCCTCCTGGGCGCTGCCTGGTTTCCCTTCCCTCCCTCTGCCTGCTCGGGGCGGGGATTTGGGAGCGGGAGACCCAAGCACACTCATTTTCGCTGTTTCCCCTTGCTAGACATGGAAGGTGGCCTCCCGTCATCCGAGCCCCCGCTCCTCTCCAGCACCGTGATGCTTTAAGTCAGGATATGCCAAGGGTTTGACTCAGAGGCAGAGCAGCGTCTGCTGAGTCACCCACAGCCCTCGCACCCCACGGCACGCCGCCGGGCTCCGGCACGCCGCCGGGCTCTGCCGAAAGCTGCGGCGACTGGACTCGCGTGAGGCAGGCTTGTGTTGAGAGGAGGTGGGAGGTCCCCGAAACAGTAGGAGGGAGAAGGTTTCCTGTGACAGACCCACTCATTAGGGAAGAGCTTTTCACTCTTTGATTCCCCCTGACAAAAATAAACGTAAAGACACCCGCTTTCCCGGTGCCGTCTGCTTGCCGTGCGCTAGTGCGACCTTTGCCGGTTCCCCGGGTGCTGCGTCCCGGTGCCACCAAGTCACCGCAGAGGTGATGGACGAGGAAGGAGGGCTGTGGCGGGGCGAGGGCGGGCCCCGACCCCTTTTTTTTGACCAGGATCTCCTGGAGGAGTGGAAGGGGAAGGGGGCCCAGGTGGAGGAGATCGGCCGCAGAGGGACCCTCCTGGAGAACCTGATCGTGGAGATCACGGCCCCCGACACCCCGGCCAAGGCAGGTGAGTCGCAGCCCGGCTCTCTCAAGGATGCCTCCTTCCTTGGAGCTCTGTTTGCTCTCGCTGCATCTTCTCTGAGCCTGCCTCAAGCAAAAAATGTGATTATTTCCCCTTTTTAACAAACTTCAGAGGGCCCATGGTGGTCCGAGTATCACGGGGCTCATCCCTGTGGTCAAGTTGCTGCCGCTTGTTGCATTAATGCATCAGCCGAGCACTCGGAACCCACCAGCTTGGCTTGATTTGCTGTAGCGTAACAAGCGCTGAATTACCCTGCGTTTGCCGTGAGCCCAGCGTGGGGACGCGTACTGCTGCTCAGATGGAGCATGGGAGCTTCAGGCTGCCGCAGCGCGGGGGTCCGGGCTCTCGGCCCCGCAGGGAGCTCGTGGAGGCGGCTCCTGCTTTCTCTTGGTGATGAGCTTCAGCCTCCTGGGGACTGGAGCATTTTAATCAAACTCCAGTATTTGGGTTTTGTATCTGGATGAAATTTAAGACTGCAATATTCAGATATGATTTACTAGTCTCCCTTTTGGCTTCGAGTCTGTGAAGCAATGAGATTATGTCTGGTTCGTTTGGAAAGCAGCTAAAAGATGTCTTCCAGCTTGTGAGAACAAGTCTCTGGACTCTCATCATTGATGGGCATTTGTGGGAACTCACAGCCTAGATAGGTTTGGTAGGGTTAACTTGATGAGCGGGTCAGTGGGAAACATCCAAGAGAAGATGGGAGAGGCGTGAGAGAAGTGGTGAGAGGCTTGTGGGTGACTCACATGGTCACCCACGTGGGGTGACTGAAGCTGCATCCCCTTAGGTCCATGAAAGCTTTAAAATGCGTGGTTAGAAAGAGAGACACTTACCCAATAAAGTTTCTGACGAATCCCCCTTTGGTTGTGAACGTAGCTGCGATACCTGGCGTCCAAGGAGGGGAGGCTGACGCATCCCGCGTGGAGCCTCTTGGCAAAGAGAGCGTGTCTGTGCAACAAGGCAGGTTTAAATAGCTTCATCCCATAAGAAAAGGAGAATATGGGGGAGTTAATCTCTTCAGGGAAGGCACTCAGAAGTCTCACTCGATATAATTCACAAAATCATGCTCAGGGTAGCAGCTTTCCAGGGGTGGAGAGGTGGCCAGTGGCCCCCAGTATTACGGTCCGCGCAGGTGCCACGTCCACCTTGGGTGATGTTGGGAGAGGTGCCCAGCTCCAGACAGCTTCAGCTCTTCTGCTTCTGGTCCGGCGAGGCAGGAGCAGCTCCAGGAAAGCGAGGGGTGCGTGTGTGTAGGGAGGAGGAGAAATAAACGGGTTCCAAATCAAAGCAGTGCCGATCGCTCGGCGCCGAGCCGGCGGGTTCATCAGCGCCAGGTGGGTGGGACCGTGGAGACGCCGCGTCTGTGCTTGGTGGCCAGTGTGGTCCATGTCGTGGAGGGCCGTTCATCGCTTGCTGTCTGCACTCCTAACGTGTCTGTCTTGTCCCTCTGTCTGTGTCCGTCCCCTCTGCTCAGGTGCCGCGCTGCCCGCTCCGGGAGGGTCGGTAGGCAGCGTGAACGGATACCACACGTGCAAAGGTGAGCTCGCTGTCACTGCTGCGCCGGCACGCGCGTGCCGAGGCCGCTTCGCCGTCTCCCTCTCCGTTTTTGTCTGTGCATTTCCATCCGTGAGAATATAAACCACAATGTGACAGCGTCAGCATCCCGGCGCAAGGGAAATGAGCCTGCAAATAGGCTTGTGAATTCTCGGCCGTGCTGTGCGGTAGCCGGAGCCACGGGACGGGCAGGCGGTGATGGAGGATGTAGGTCAGGCTGAAGGACGGAGAGGGGCAGCTTTGGGGAGTGACAGCACCCTGACACCCCATCAGGTGGTGTTAAAAGCTGATAAATGGGAGATCATTTTAAGACCTACAATTAATTTTATTGGTTCTAAGGGATTGTAACCCATCCAACCCTTCAGTTTGAAGAGCAATTTTAATTATTGCCCGTTATCTGCTGTTAGTTCGCCAGTTCAACGAGACAGTAGGTGCATAAAAATGGCTTTATATTTTGGTGTCCAATTATTTAACGCTGTATTAGCAGTGACATTGCGAAAGGGGGGGTCAGCTCGCATCAGTCTCACGAACAAGAAGGCATTTGCTTTGTTTGCAAACTGTCAACACGCATACATGGTGCAACTGGAAGGGCCCCTCTGGCATGAGAGGTGAGGATAATCTGACATTGCTCTGCAGACAGACAGACGGACGGCAGCGTGGCCTCTTGCTCCTCCTGCTTGGCCGGCTGTGGCTGCATGGGGCTAGATTAGCACCTGATAGTCCAGGTTAAGATGGGCGATGCAGGCAGCGGTCCTCATCTCGGGCTGCTTTTTGGAAACAGATCTGACCGAGATCCAGTGCGATGTGTCAGACGTGACCCAGCAGTACCAGGGCCTTGGCGCAGCGCTGCAGGAACGCCAGCAGCAGCTCTCGGCTATGCTGGAGAAGATGCAAGAAGTGCAGGAGGAGGCAAGCTCGATGCTGAAGTGGCTGGAGTCGAAGGAACAAATGCTGTCAGAGCTGGACGCCTCCTCCTCGCCCACCAAGACGGAGACGATGAGAGCCCAGGCTGAGCACAACAAGGTAACTTCTCTTCCAGAGCAAAACACGGGGATCTGAGCACCTCCTCCCAAAGGATCTGAGAGATGGGCTTTATTGCAGCAGGGCTAGAAGGACTAGCAGCCAGGATCTGCCCTGGGTTAACGAAGGGCTTTCCCCAGAAGGGATCACAGGCGGGTTCATGGAGCAGGAGGCCCCGCACTGTGCTCGACCCTCTTTGCTTTTAGACCTGTTGCTTTCAGGTATTTGGCTCAGGGGAAAGTTGCTTAGCTGTAGCCCTTGTTGCTGGGGCACTCTAACTTCTCCTGGAAAGCAATTCCCAGCCTTTCCCTGCTCTTGGAGCCAAGTTAGCTCATGATATTGCTAATAAAATGAAGTGATTTCATTAAAGAGCAAAGAACAGAAATTGTCCAGCTCCAGCTTGTAGCTGCTGCTTCGTTCCTACTCGGTGATTTCATTCTTTTGCCCTATGTCTGAAGTTCAAATGATTATTTTTCCAGGCATTTCTGGCTGAATTGGAACAGAATTCTGGGAAGATCCAGAAGGTAAAGGAAGCTCTTTCTGGCTTGCTGGAGAAATATCCAGATTCTCCGGAAGCAGCAAACTGGAAGAAGATGCAGGAGGACCTGAGTAAGTGCCTGAAGCACTTAGTGAGGCTTCTGTCTTGAAACATCACGTTAGAAGTGGTTCAGGATTGCAGGGCGATTCCAAAGTCACAGCAGAGCAGAGTCACTTCTAATTAAAATTTAGTAAATAGCAAACTTATCTCCAAGCTGTCTGGTGTACAAGGTGTTCCTGAGATGAGCACTGTCGTAACTAATGAACTATCTATGATGGATGTATATTTTAAACACTTGCCTCCTTAAATTATTTCTTTTAAAAAAAAAAAAAGGAAAAAGAAAAAAAACGTTAGCGACATGGGTTGATTATTTTGATTAAGAGCTTCACTGCTTGATGTAAAATTCTAGTCATTAGTAAGGCTATCCTAGGTAATTAAATGTTGACTAAACAAGACTGTGTATTTAAAAAGAAGCCCAGAGATTCTCTTCTTTGAAATAGCAGGAACGTGTTTACGGAGTTCTCCGTCCAGGAGATCTGAATGTGCTGTGTGAGGACTGGTACACATGAGAGTATCCTCATTTATCGAGCCAGGGATGTGAGATGGCTCGCCTAAGGTCAGACCAGCTCGTGGCAGTAGTGACTAGAGCGCAGAAATCCTTGCTTGCAAGGTTTTTTTCTATGAGCTTCAAGACCACGTAGCCATTAGAAATGGGCAATGGCTTATTAGATGGAGAGTGACTAGAGCCATGCTAGTTTTATCGAAGAGCTGAGGTTTCCCATCGGAGAAACCATGGGGAGGGTAAAAAAACCTTCTCGATGGAGGGGTGGGCTGACCGGGAGCGCAACCACCGCTAACGCAGCCGGTGCTTCAGATTGCAGGTGGGAAAGAGCCAGCCAGGCGACGGCCGAGCGGCAGCAGAAGCTGGAGGAGTCGGCGAACCAGCTGGCCAGCTTCCAGGCTGCCGAAGCCCAGCTGCGCCCCTGGCTCATGGAGAAGGAGCTGATGATGAGCGTGCTGGGACCCCTCTCCATCGACCCGAACATGCTGAATGCACAGAAGCAGCAGGTCCAGGTGAGCCGGGAGCTGTGTACGCATCTCCACGGTGGGCTCAGGACCAGGAGGGAGCGTGTCTCATCCCGTATGTGAGGTGGAAGATTGCACTCGGAGTTATTTGTCTTGCAAGCACTCTGCCATCCAGCGAATGTCGGGAGGCCTCGTGGCTCCTCTCCCAAGTCCTCCAAACCCTGCTGAGCGCAAACTACTGTGAATAACTTGAAACGGGTGCAGCACTCGAGCTCCCTTCCCCGCACTGGATTGACTCATCAGTGAATCACTTGGCCCCTCTTAGAGAGTGAAATTGGTTTAAACAAGACCTGTGCTGATGCTCTGCAGGACTTGCTAATGCTGCCCCTCTGCCTGGCAGCCTGCCCTCTCTGTACCTCCTGCTTCCAAATCCTAACATGTCCGTAACCGGCCACATCATAAAATAAAATGCCCCAGTTAACATAATTAGATTTCCTTCTCATCTAACTGGTTTATGTTACATTACACAGCAGTAGGACAAATAAGAGAGAGAGCAAAGTACCAGAGTCGCAGATCCCTCCCAGCTTTTTAAGTTGCCGGCTCACAGTGAATCGTGGTGTTCCCAGCCCAGTTGCTGTCCCACCCCAGGGCTTGTTCCTACTGATGCCACGGGCTGGGTAAAGCCCCCGGAGGTCTGGTTTGTTTTGACTGTGTGTACTCGAAGCTGTCAGTTTTATGCAAACATTTTTATGTTATTTCTGTTCCAGTTTATGCTGAAGGAATTTGAAGCTCGCAGACAACAGCATGAGCAGCTCAACCAGGCAGCTCAGAGCATCTTGACTGGCCCAGGAGATGTTTCTCCATCCACTAACCAGGTGCGGGAAGAGCTCCAAGGGGTTAATCAGAAATGGTCCGAGCTAATGGAACGCCTCAACTCCCGCTCCAGCCAAATTGACCAAGCCATAGTGAAGAGCACCCAGTACCAGGAGCTCCTCCAGGGCCTCTCCGAGAAGGTGAAGGCAGTTGGGCAGCGCCTGAGCAGCCAGTCTGCCGTCAGCACGCAGCCCGACGCTGTGAAACAACAGCTGGAGGAAACCAGTGAGATCCGCTCGGACCTGGAGCAGCTGGAAGAGGAGATCGCAGAGGCTCAGACCCTCTGTGATGACCTCTCTGTCCTGATTGGGGAGCAGTATCTCAAAGATGAGTTAAGGAAACGTCTGGAGACGGTGGCGCTTCCTCTCAAAGGGCTGGAAGACCTGGCAGGTGAGACAGCGTGGAGAAGTTGCTTAAGAGATGTTGGGATGTCGAACTCCACCCCTACTTTTTGCCAAAGGGCTCTCCCATCACTGGGTTCCTAGGAATAATAGGGGAAGCACCTTTTATCATTTTATAGTGTGTTTCATGGGTGTTTTATGTGGGACTAAGCAGAGGAGAGTTCATGCTGCAGACGTACCTGAGCCTGGAGAGTGAGCAGAGATGTTTAGTTTAGTCCCACTGATGTGGCTCTTCAGCAAGCCTGCCTGGCTTGCAGCAGTGTGGCATGTGCTGTGCTTGGGGAAAAAAAACCTGGTTCCTAGATTCAGAATGGGGCATGGAGAAGACCCAATGGCCACCCTCTAATCTTGGGATGCCTCTTCTGGTTTCTAAGAGGTTGCATTTAGAGACTAGTCAGGAGAACTGAGACTACTGCGTTACCGTTGCCTGTTACTACTTAAGAAATTCATGAATCAGTGAGCAAAAAGGCTAGTGATGCAATGGAAAGCTCCTTCCTGTTAATCAAAACACAGTTGGTGTATCTGATTTTAAATAATTGCACTTTGCTTATTTGATTTCAGCTTAATTGTTGCGTTCTAATCTTATTTCCATTTCAGCCGACCGGATGAACCGACTGCAGACCGCACTTGCAAGTTCCCAGCAGTTCCAGCATATGTTTGATGAACTCAGGACCTGGCTAGATGACAAACTGTGCCAGCAAGCTCAGAGCCAACCTATTTCTGCTAAACTGGAGAGGCTACAGAGCCAAATTCAGGAACAAGAAGAGTTCCAGAAGAGCCTCAACCAACACAGTGGCTCCTACGAGATGATTGTAGCCGAGGGAGAATCTTTGCTGCTTTCTGTCCAGCCTGGGGAGGAGAAGACCACTCTGCAAAACCAGTTGGTCAGCCTCAAAACACACTGGGAAGAGCTCAGCAAACAGGCTGCTGATAGACACTCTAAGCTCAAGGACTGTTTGCAGAAAGCTCAGAAGTACCAACGGCACACCGAGGACCTCCTCCCTTGGGTGGAGGACTGCAAGGCAAAGATGTCAGAGCTGGAAGTAACTCTGGATCCGGTGCAGCTGGAGGCGACTCTTCTGAGATCAAAGGCTATGCTGAGTGACGTGGAGAAGCGTCGCTCCTTGCTGGAGATGCTGAACAGCGCTGCCGACATCCTGATTGATGCTTCTCAAACCGATGAGGATGACATTCGGGATGAGAAGGCTGGGATCAATCAGAAGATGGATGCCATCACGGAAGAGTTGCAAGCCAAGACGGGCTCCATTGAAGAAATGTCACAGAGGCTCAAGGAGTTTCAGGAGAGCTTCAAGAACATTGAAAAGAAGCTGGAAGGGGCAAAGCACCAGCTGGAGATCTATGATGCGCTAGGGCCGCAAGCCTGCAGCAACAAGAATTTGGAGAAGCTCAGGGCACAGCAGGAGGTGCTGCAGGCCCTGGAGCCACAAGTGGATTATCTGAAAAACTTCACTCAAGGGCTGGTAGAAGATGCCCCAGATGGGTCTGACTGTTCCCAGCTCCTAAGCCAAGCTGAGGTGGCTCAGCAGGACTTCAAAGCTGTGAAGCAGAAAGTAAATGACTGCTGTATGCTCATGGAAAACAAGCTTGAAGGGATCGGCCAATTCAATAATCGGGTGAGGGAGATGTTCTCTCAACTGGCAGATCTCGATGATGAGTTAGACAGCATGGGCCCCATCGGGAGAGACTCTGACAGCCTTCAGTCCCAAGCAGAGGATGTTCGCACGTTCCTGGGCAAGCTCCACAGGCTGAAGTCTGACATTGAAGCTTCCGAAAGTGAATGTAAGAAGATGCTGGAGGATGAAGGGAGCCCCGATTTATTAGGACTGAAACGTGAACTGGAGACGCTGAATAAACAGTGCAGCAAACTGACCGAGAGAGGCAAGAACCGTCAGGAACAGGTAGAAATGACGCTGTCTCGTGTCGAGGACTTCTACAGCAGGCTGAAGGAGCTGACCCACATGACAACCGCAGCGGAGGAGAATGAGGCATTGCAGTGGGTGGTGGGAACGGAGGTGGAAACCATCAACCAGCAGTTGGCAGACTTCAAGGTAAGTCTTTATGCTATCACTTTCTAAAGTGGTGTTTGGTGTTTGGTCTTTCTAGTGTTGTGGTCTTTTGTGTAGGACTTCTAGTCTTCAAGCTATCGCGGCTTTGTTGTTCGTTGCTGTAACATCGGCATTTTTGGTGTAGTAAAATATCCTTGCTCTGGAGAATACAAGATCAACTGTTGGACTTGATAGTCTGCGGTGAAAAGGTGCAGAAAGATTTTGTGATTGGGAGGAAAAAACTTTTCCCTGTTCTCCTTGTGATGTGTAATGTTGGCGTGCCAGTAACTTGTGGGCTTGTAGAGGTGGTTGGCATTTAGGTTTTGGGGGAGGGAGGGATGTTTTTGGGGCCATCTGAACTGTAAGTTGGCTTCATCTGAGAGTCGAGTCCAGATCAGATCATCCTGTAGGTCTTTCT